GTGGTCGACCTCCATAGATTACGTTGGTTGGGACATGTGTTACGCATGTCACCAGATAGGTTACCACGGCGAGCCATGTTCGCCGAAGCAGAAACCGAGTGGAAAAAAGCCAAGGGAGGTCAAGCTAAGACCTGGTACGAGGGTATGAAAACCCTATCCAGGAGACTGGGTCACATAGGTCCTGTTAGAGGGGACCTCGGGATGATCGTAACCGATGGTTAGAGACACCGAGCGATATGGCTGGGTGTCTCAAACAGTGGAGTTCGTGCATCTTTTCCTTTTCTTTGCAACCTTAGAACACTGAACTTCTCCATTTTCTGTTCGACTCCACGTTCAACATGCCTTCCCTCTCCTATTCTTCATCCAAATGGGCAGCCAAAGGACAGCACATTCGTGCGCCGGTTTTAGTTTATGGTTGTACAAACTGAAAACTGAAAACTGAATCATCAATACCACAGTGGAAGCTTCAATCCACAAAGAAAACACGAGAGTTACAGGGAAAAAGTTTTCTGGATATGGTATATATAAAACGTAAGATTTCCCTCGTTAACCAGTTACTATCACAACAAAATCTCGTAGTTACTCTCGATCCGCGTTACACAAGCATAGGTACGTGAGTTCGTGTGTACACACTCATGTGAGCGATATTCGAAGTAGGCCCATAGATTCAGCATTATTCTCGTCTCTAGGCCTACCTTGAAAATTCATATCATGGAGCATTAGGAGGTGAACCTTGGTTGTTTTGATTATGAGGTCACAATTCATGGTTCAAGCATGTAACCCCTACAAGTCTGATTTTAGTGGGAGGCACCACGGGACCCTTGGTGTTTTGGGTCTTTTGCAAACGTGAAGAAATGCCTATATAGCTTACTTAACCGACCGTTTCTATTAACCAGGATTATCAGGTAACGTAGAACAAAACCCTGGAGCGGGATCACTGCTAAAGACGCTGGCCGGGACAGATTTAGTGGCTCCCAATTTCGAGCTGAAATACCTTTCTTATGCACTCTTTCTTTCAGCTTCCGACTATTGGGTCTGATGGGTGTTATTTTCTTCTCAGAGCCAAATGCGTTTTGAAAATTCATGTGGTGTACTTCAACCCGCTCGCCACGGTCCAGTAGGATAAACATTTCGTGCGGAAATTACCGGTAGATTTCCCAAACTCGTGCTGTCTGACCGACTGCGGCCCAACTTTGTAACTAGTCGCAATATTCCTCCTCGAAGAGTTGTCCCGAATAGCCTCCAGGCTCTGAGTACTCTAGCTACTCGATAATTTGTGGCTAGTTTCTTTGTCCATCATTCGTGGATTGGGATAAGTAACCTCCTCTATAAGCCAATACACCGAAACCTCACTCAGTGCATCAGAAACATTGACACAACGTGCCTGACGTTCTATAGACCGTACGGATGAAGTATTGACGAACAATTTGATAGTCATTTCGACTGTTGGGGGAGGGGGTAATGTTAGAGTACTGTAGCAATCGAACTGTGCAATCAACAAGCATGAAGTTACGAGAAGTTATTAAATTATTTCCACTAAGGAAACTAAAGAGAGAACAAACAGGGAGACAGACAGATAGTTCGCATAAAATCATTGTCGACACTTCAAATTTCAGAACTATCAAACGTTTGTCTATATAGTTTTATATAGGCAATGATAGAGCAAAGATAATATTCCGATGTCTCTGTGGCTACCTTCTCTCGCAAGGCCTGAGGAAGTATCGCACAGATACCATTCGGATGCTCTGCCTGAGATCTTTTCGTGGATACTAAATTCTCTTTGAATCCGTTATGCTGCTTTCCGAAGTGAAGTGATTTAAAAATTTATGAATTTATTTGTTACCCGGCAACAATCCTTTTGTGAAATGAGTCACGACTATTTTTCTCTTTGTTCAATATAAGCGTAAAACCCTATGAGCAATTATCATAAATTTATCCATAAACCACAAAATCAAATATCCAAACATCTCTTATAATATACATTTCTGATAGTGGTGATTGCACAATCAAATACCTTGTCTCCAAACTATATTTTGTATGACTCATATTACTGGATGAAGTTTGAGGAATGTAAAAAACTGTGCAAATAAGATGCATCATTGATAAGGTGGTGCGGTTCTCAAAATGAGGAGGTACAGGGACAACAAAAAGCACTGCCCTTATTGTGGGAGCCCGCGACGTGCTCAATCTGGTTCCTTTCGTTTCTAGTACGCCATGTTTCAGCGTTTGTTCGTTTGGCATGAAGCTTCTGACATTGGCAAAATAGGATAGGTCCAGGAGTTACGTAATGAAAAGTACATCACTCGGAGTGCATCGTACGTGTCCTTCGTCGTAGTGACTGTTACGCTCTGGTGACTGAGTTATGGTCAATGTCCCAACACCTAAGACCAGTAGTGCCTTAGCTATAGCGCGCCCGAGACATGGCGTCACCCGTCATGCTTACCCCTTAGGGTCCAGCTTAGCTGTCTCGCGCAAACTGATTTAACTGAAACAGCTGTTGAAAGACCTCCCGCTTCACACCTTAATTGCTACCGGAACATGGCTACCGCAGGATATTTTCAATGCAAAATCGATTTAAAATGATGTGCGCTACTGAAGCAAAGCAACTTCTGAGACCTTCCTCCTCTTATCATTCTAGTTCGTCATGATCTAAGAATGTCTCAAATGTAAGGGTTAGTTTATTGAAAGAATTCAAATTGCATAGACGAAATACTGTAGAATGCACTAAGTGGTCTCCAAAACGTTGGTATAAAACGGGCAGCACGAGAAAAGCTGTATGATTTAGAGTACGCCGATGACAACGTATGTCTGTTCGAATGTATGAAAGACGCGCAAAGCGAATTGCATAGACTAACAAGTGCGGTTGCCACATTCGGTATGTGCTTTGCAACATCTAATTGCAAATTGATGCTGTAGTACTGGATGTAGCCTACACCCGCTCTGAAACTAAACGGCCAGGAATTAATTATAATGGATTACTTTTCGTACTTATTAGTTGCGTGACCAATGACGGTAGCGCAGCAAAAGAGATAATTGCGCACATTTTCAAGGCTCGAGCAGCATATCCAGGACTGAAACACCTTTGGCGCAGACGCGATGTTTCACTAAAGATGAAAGGTTGTGTATATTACGCTAGCGTACATTCCGTCCTGCTTTATGGTTGTAAGACCTTGAATTTGCGATTAGAAGATACCCGTTGACTAGAAGTTTTCGATTATCGGTGTTTACGCAGTTTAGCCCAAGTGGAATGGAGCGAACGGGTCTGTAATCTGGGGGTAAGTCGTCGTGTACTTTGAAGTCTGTCAGACATAAACTTCCTAGAACATCAAAGTCAGATCGGTAGACTTCGCTGACTGGGGCACGTATTGCGTATGCCCAGCTACCGTCTACCACATCGCGCCTTATTCGCTGTAGCCGCTCCGGGCTGGAAGAAACTAAGTGAAGGCCAACAGATGATTTGAAAACGAGGCATGAAGAAATGCACAGAACCATTAGGTAGAGTAGGTGTCACGCGCCCTCCAGATTGGGGTCCGAAAGACCCCGCAGCTAGTTGGTTGGAGACATTGCAGGATATGGCAGGGGNGGGACCGACAACAGTGGCGTTCTTGGTGTCATTTCTTATCAGGCCAGAATGCTTGAAACGGTATGCATGCAGAGTTCGATTGCGTACTCTGTGTATTGACCTTAGTGGTTCACCTTCTCTCTCCCTCAAAGTAGGTCCAATCCCTGTCCACCTTAAATTTTACAACTAACCTCATATGCTTTGCGAGTTTGGCAGCGATCAGTGAAGTTTGCTTCACTGTATTTCGCTGCAGGACACCGAAGACGATTATCTGTAATACGCGTAATGAAATGCTATTAGTACAGTGCATATAATCCAATCAGTTTCCATGTTCTTCTGGTCATGGTATAGCCATAGCCACAGCTATTTCGATTGGTCCAACTTTCTGGCTTCTTTTTGGCTGTCATGACACGGTTAACTGCCTGTCCTTCGATCGTGCCATTCTGTGGCTCTGGATCACCACATTCCTCGGTGAATGTTTTCCTAATCAAGCTTGATACTCTATATACCTAGCTAAGTACATATATTTATATATTTGTATGCATGCAAGTATGTACATACACTAGTCGGACGCGGCTCACTACCGTGTACTCCAGCATTCAACGCCAAATGCGAGCTTCCGAAAATAAACTGACCAAAATTTCAATCAGTCACCCTTGGGCTAAGCTGCGAACATGCGGAATAATTCAACACCTCAATGATCGCTGAAATGTCTGGAATTGAAAGCCGTTCGCAGTCTGTCCAGATCATTCCAATTTGGTTGGTCTGCTCTGACCAACCAATCGTCATCATCCGACAATAAGGTATATATAGATGGACATTTGTACTGTCTTCTCTGTGACTCGTTCGAATTGTGCCATCATGCCGCTACCGGAGGCGAAATTCACACAGGTTAGTGATTTTGGTTTTATCGTTTGGTAGCGGTGGT